TAGCCAGCATACTTTCCTGAAGAGAATATCATGAGATATTTTAAGTTACTTTAAAAAAATACTTTATGCCAAATTAGGTGCCAATTACAATGGTATTTGCCTAGTTTTCTTCAAGCTAAAGCTCATGTCCTAACACTTATTTTGTCCTAGGGATCAAAGCAGGTATCTGTACTAACCCATGGTATAACTTCTGCAAGAATTATCAGAGTGAAACTCAGAGATACTAGAGCAGGCATCGTGGTTCAGCAGATTAGGATTCCTCTTGGGATACCCACTTTCCATATCAGAGTCCAACTCAAGTCCTGGCTCTTCCACTTTGGATGCAGCTTCCTGCTTATGTGCCTGGGAAGGCAGCAACTGATGCCCCAAGTACTTGGGTTCCTACCACCCACTTAAGAGACCTGGATGAAGTTCCTGGATCCTTTCTGGCTTTGGCCTGAACTAGCCCTGGCTGTTGCAGGCATTTGGGGAGTGAACCACCAGATGAAAGAGATTCTCTCTCTCTCTCTCTCTCTCTCTCTCTCTCTCTCTCTCTCTCTCCCCCTCCCCCCCTTCTCTTTCCCTCTCTCTCTCACTCTCGCTCTTGCTCTTGCTCTCGCTCTCACTCTCTTGCCCTCTCTTTTTCTTTCTCACTCTTCCTTTCAAATAAATATAGACTAAACATAGACTAAAGAAACTTACAGAGGTTGATAAAACCAAGTTTTTGAGTGAATTTTCTTTATCTTTGCCTGAAACTTTTTCCATAGTTCTCCCAGTCTTAAACTTTTAAGCAGCGTTGGGTTTTATAACTTGCATTAATGTAATTGCATTACATAGACCTTTTCTAGAAACACTAAATGCAGTTTTCTTTATCACTGCTGTAGGCATAGAAACTTTTTTCTTTGTTCCATATGTATTCTTGGCCTAGAAAGTGAAATAATAAATGTGAAAGTGTTTTTTGAAGTGAAAGTTTTTTTAATGTAAAGCATTATACAGTGAGTGGGTATCATTACTATATATATTCTCTAATTTTGGATGACAAGCCTTTCAGTTATACAATCAGCATTTTACTCATGAATGTTTGATATTCATTTTGTAAAATTCTAGGTATCAAGTCCTCTATTCCAACCTTAATTCACTTGCTAGCAGAAATAACTCATTTCAATTTAACATTTGAAAAAATATTATGTAGTTAATAAATCGGTTATTCAAATTATTTGGACATTTAAATTTGAGCAACTCACCTAACATCTGCAGAATTGTTTATCTTGAAAAGTTGAATTTGAATTAGTTCAACTGCAGCAGTGGGTGATTTACATGCCACAGCGAGAAACTGGCAGTTAACATGGGACTTCCCTCCAGCTAGATGTAGTCTGGCCTACCTATTGATCTAGGCAGCCACTTAATCCGATTTTATACAAGAAATGGAATTCTTTTGCCATCTTTGAGCCAAGCAAGCTTTTATAAATTCTGAATGATTATTGATCTGTGTTTGGGAGACTGTTAGATGCTTACCCTTATAGCTGTTTCCATTTAAATTTAGCATAACTTCTAACTATCACTGCTTCATTGCAGTTGATTCTTAAGAGTTAAACTCATTACCTTTCACCACTGCTTCTTCTCTGTCCCATATAAACTTGTGTTTCCAGTTATTTTTCTATCAATGCTATTTTCAGTACCACATAGTAACAAAATACCCAATAAAAGGTAGAATTTCAGCTTACAAAGAGAGTTTAAAGTTTCCAGTTACCAGTAGACACATTTTCAGTTTAGATATCACTTCTTTTCTGATGTCTTTTATACTATTTTAATTTAGTTTAGTTTTATTTGAGAGAGAGAGAAGTAAGGAGTGGAGGGAGAGAGAGAGAACAAGTTGTCATTCACTGATTCACTCCCCTAAATGCCCACAGGGCACCCCAGCTGTGGCTAAAGCCAAAAGATGGGAACCTAATTCACATGGCAGGCTCCCAGTTACTGGGACCATCACAACTACCTCCCAGGATCTGCATTTACATGAAGCTGTAGTCGAGGATCAGAACCAGGAATCAAACCCAGCCACTCCAATGTGGAAATGGGTATCCTAACCAGCATTTTAACCAGTAGGCCAAAGGCCCCATCCATTGGTAGTATTTTAGAATGTCAACCACTCATTCATTTTTTAACTCTCTCAGCCTTCTTATTTTGTTAATCGAAAACTAACATTATATTTTTACAGAACAGTAAGAGGAATATAAGGCATTGAAGATGGCAAAGGCAAATAATTAAGACAGGCTGCTGAGATTTTAAGATGAGGGTAATTATTAGAGCAAAGTGCCAAGGGAGCTTCACACTTAAAACTTTAGAGTCATCCTTTAATCGTTGCTCTTTTCTGCATCTTCTGTTACTCAATTGTTAAATATTCCAAGCATGCCCCCACCTCAGGAACTCTACACTTGCTGTTTCTTCTACCTCGATGATCTTGCCTGTTATTTGCACGGTCTGCAATGCATGGTCTTCAAATGTCTAGCCACACATTTCTTTAGAGAGACTTCCCAAACCACTGTATCCAAAATGGTATTCTCTACCTTAGATACTCTCTGTTCTTTTAATCTTATTTATTTTTCTTTGTTATACTTAACCACCGATTTTTATTTTATACTTTAATTTTACATGTGTATTTGCTTGCTTATGGATGTAGACACTCTTTTCTCCGTAGCATGTTCTCTGGGTTTAAGATAATCTGTGGTTTGTAGTGGACACTCAGTAAATGCTTGTTAAATGAATAATCCATTTCGAAATACTGATCTATTAAATTAAGTCTATACTCTCCTCAGCTTGATCTTCAGGGTCTTGTACAATAAGACTGTGATTTAGTTTTTCAGTCTTTTTCAGGAAAATATGGCAGCAAAGTAATTGAAGTAAATTGAATTGGAGTAAATTGAATGCAGACTGAAAAGTTGTAGGGCCAAAGCTATGGCTTTAACTTTAACAGGACCAGTGGAGCTATAGATCTTCAAAGAGCATGAGTGTTCTGTCCAAATCCATGAATGTGCCCAAGAGGATCAAGGAATGCAGTTATCCTAAGAGTATCCAGGAAGAGAGTCCTATGAAAGTAAACATCTTTTAATAATATGAAGCCAAGATAAAATAAAATTAAACATCTTTTAAAAATATGAAGCTAAAACAAAGCATATCTCCTCAAATGGAATACAGTAGTAGGTGCTGGCACCTAGGATCCTCCTTCACATCAGTATATTGTACTGTGGGATTTGTAGAACTGTTCTGTAGAAAGCTTTCATGGTTCCCTTTTACCAACTGATTTAAGTATAAACCCCTGGCATCACCTTTTAAATCCAAGTATTCATTTCTACACTTATTTCTTAACATTTCTCTACATATAATCAGTACTCTGGCAAAATAAAATTACTTTTTCATTCTTTTGATGTCTTCTTCCATGCTTCTGTACTCTTCTCTTCTACTACCCAGCTGTGTGCAGTTCCTTCTGTTGTGCACAAGTCTATGAGAGCTTGATCTCCACCCACCACAGTACCTTCATTCCTAGACACACGTGGAGGCTGTCTCTGAATCCTCTTTTTGGCCATTTAGATGCTTTATCTTTCTATACGTTATAGCCATTTATATAATTTACATTTTCATTAAAAGCTTCATAATGAAGAAACTTCATTATGCTCAATAATATTTGATACACATCACACTTAGCACAGTTCACTTAGAGGCTGTAGAATTGAGCTAAGCTCCTTAAAATAAACTTTAAAATCATGAAGACGTGCCGGCGCTATGGTGTAGTGGGTAAAGTCTCCCTCTGCAGTGCTGATATCCCATGTGGGCACCGGTTCGAGTCCCAGCTGCTCCACTTCCAATCCAGGCCTCAGCAGTGGAAGATGGCCCAAGTCCTTGGGCCCCTGCACCCACGTGGGAGACCCAGAAGAAGCTTCTGGCACATGGCACTGGATTGGCTCTGCTCTGGCCACAAGAAAGACCTCTCAGACCTCTCTCTCTCTCTCTCTCTCTCTCTCTCTCTCCTGTGTAACTGCCTTTAAAATAAATAAATAAATCTTTTTAAAAATAATCTTAAAGAGGGGCAGGCACTGCAGCATAGCAGATAAAGCCTCTGCCTGCAATTCTGGCATCCCATATGGGCTCGAGTTGGAGTTCCAGCTTCTCCACTTCCTATGCATCTGTCTGCTATGACCTGGGAAAGCAGTAAGATGGTTCAAGTCCTTGGGCCCCTGCACCAACATGGACAACTCAGAAGAAGCTCCAGGCTCCTGGCTTCAGATAAACCTATCTCTGGATGTTGTGACCATTTGGGGAGTGAACCTGTGCCTGGAAGATTCTCTCTCTAACTCTGCCTTTCAAATAAATAAATAAATCTTTAAAAAATGAAAAAAATTCTTGAAGTTATTTAGGCAGTGTGACTATTCTGTCATTTTTCTAGAGAATGACTCTTGTTGCTAATTGTTGAATTAATATTAAGAAGTTTTAGATTTGCATGATATTGCTAACAGCATCTTCTGTCCTTTCTATGCCCTATCCTCTCCTAGTAACTACTATCAAGCAGGTACATAGCGGGTGCGATGCAGTCAGTGCTTGTTTTCTCATAATGTGAACAGAAGAGCACCATTTCAAATATGTGAACCTTTAGAAGACTGTGAAGACAAGCAAATCTACCACTTTTAGATTAATTTAGAATTGTCCCAGGAATAAATCCCAGAAGGCTCCTGACTAAATGACAAAGTAAACAATTTCCCTCAGTAACAAACCTGTATTATTGCCACTTCAACAATAGCTATTTTTTGTTATCTAATTTAAGATTAAGCATTAAACCTTTAAAAACATGAACTTAAATCTTCCACACAGATTCAGCCTTATGTCCAACTGTATTCTTTTCCACAGCCAAGGCTTTGAAAACAAAGAGTTTGTTGACTAAAGAAGGGCCAGGTGTCATCTGTGAAGATACTTAAAAGTTTAAAAAAGAAAAAAGTAAACATTTGAGATGACAGGATTTTTTCCACCCTTAGGGACCTAGAGGCCCAGACGGTCTCCCAGGAGAGCCAGGTTTACAAGGTGCCAAGGTAATCATTGATTTCCTCATTTCAATACAGTTAAGTTTTGTTGAACACATATGTTCTACCTATCCAGAAAATGAGGTATTTCCTTACAAAACTACAGTACTAAATTTTCTCCTTGTCTAAGTATGAACATCTATAGAGCTTTTACAACTCATACAGAAATGTTCTTTTCAATATTGAACTATAGAGTTGCTGTTTTATTTTTGTGACTGTATGCTAGCATGTGTGAAACCATAATTCAGATTCTTACTAGTTCATCTGGTCTTCATACTTTGTTAGGGTGAAAGGGGAGATCAAGGGAAACGAGGCCCTCCTGGTCTTACTGTAAGTAATAAAAAATTTCACATTAAGGATGAAGATTTAAAATCTTCCCCGCTTTCCCCTGTTGTTTGGGAAGGGGCCACTTGACTTAAGCATCATTTTCTTGTTTAGGGTAAGACTGGAAGCCCTGGGGAGAGAGGAATTCAAGGAAAATCAGTAAGTAATGAAATATAATCAGACTGTGTATGATTTTTACCTGCTTTGGGATGGGAGTGCTTCCACAGTGCTTTGAGATATTTTTGACAAAAACAAATTATATATACTTAGAGTGTACTATGTATTGTCTTGATATAACATACATTATAAAATGAGTATCTGCCTTATTCTCTGACACAGCTGTTGTCTAGTATTCAGAATGTTAGAATAAGCAAATACAGTTTTTTAATTCCTTTAGTCATTAGGTTATGATTTTATTTTAGCAAGTTGTTGACCCATTCTGGACCTTGTTTGTAGCTACTGAGAAACTATTATAGTTGATATATAGTAGTTGGGTTAACTATTACTTAATAATTTTTATGAGTTCATTTTTATGTAAATTCCATTTCAAAAAATGTATAAATAATGAGACAATAATAAAACTGTCACACCAAGAAATTCTTCAGGCCTCTTTCATAGTTTCTTTTGAACTCAGCTTGAGTGTTTTTTAATCTTCAATGTTATGATATACTTTCCCATAGTGCTAACCTAAGAACATTTAATATTTTATATGTTAGCTATTTTCTTACCATCAAAAATCTTACCAGAATTATATAGATTTTTTTCCCTGAGAGGCAACAAATTATGTTGGCAACAAGTTCACTAAATAAGGGGTGAAATGTTAGTAAAAAGAAAGATACGTATATATGCATATATTGACATATTACGTATTTGTATATATGGGAGACAAAAGCTTAGATGTGTGGGCATTTTTAATTTCATCAGGAATCATTATGCATGACATTTCTATTTGTCATATGCATGTATATGTGTAGTTTAAAGTTACAAAATCACTTAATAAAAATAAATTACAGGCCGGCACTGCGGCTCACTAGGCTAATCCTCCGCCTGCGGCGCCAGTACACAGGGTTCTAGTCCCGGTTGGGGCTCCGGATTCTGTCCCAATCGCTCCTCTTCCTGTCCAGCTCTCTGCTGTGGCCTAGGAGTGCAGTGGAGGATGGCCCAAGTGCTTGGGCCCTGCACCTGCATCGGAGACCAGGAGAAGCACCTGGCTCCTGGCTTCGGATCAGCGCAGCGCGCTGGCCGCGGCGGCCATTGGAGGGTGAACCAATGGAAAAAGGAAGACCTTTCTCTCTGTCTCTCTCTCTCACTGTCCACTCTGCCTGTCAAAAAAATAAATAATTTAAAAAATAAATAAATTACAGATGAAGAATCAGAAAAGAATATGAGAAAAATGTTTTAGGTGCTACAGTAAATGTCACTGATGTTACTGCATTTGCTTGTTCCTCTTTGAAATCTGCTGCCCCCTGTCTGTTGTTTGCCAAAGTGTCATATTTGACACTGGTCAAACCTAAAATATTAGAGACCAAAAAACAACCACGATGATTATGTCCAGGGAAAGATTTTCTGTGTGTCATTGCATTATTAATTAAAGTGATCTTCAAGAAAGTTCCTTGAGCATTAATATTCATCATCTGGGATACTATTATGTTACTGAAAATGTTGCTTTCAAAGATTCTGATCATTTTGCTGTACTGTATACAAAGCTAATATGTTGCAATGAGGGGAGAAATTTGGAGCTCCTCAAGTTCAATCTTCTCATTATTAAAAATATGAAACCAAGGGAAATAAACTTAATTGCTCATTTTGTACATGTTCACCTTGCTTAGCATTTTATCTTAATTTTCTGCCCATTGGGAATGCATGGATTAATGTGATATTTGATGTCTAACTCCTTCAATCAAATCAACGATACTAGAGTCACTTTGTAGCCTTACCTTATGGCAAGCAAGTATCACAGACTATTGGAAGAATAGAGTTACCTTAGTGGACAACATGAGTTGGATATTAATCATGAATTTGTAATAGTTGTCAAAGTTTATTTTATTCTACACATACATTAATCCTCCTTAACTGAAAAAGATTTTGGAGAACACAGTTAACAGTAGAGAAAAAAAAGCCAGACAAGACCCAAATATTCACTTGATTCTTTAGAGTAATCTTAATGTCTCCAGTCATTTATGTACTTAGAACAGGCAGGCATTGCTATATAATGGAGAGATCTGTTGGAGGCCAGATTGACCTTTGCCCTAGTGCATATTCCTGAAAACTATTTAACCTCAATAAAATTAGCTCTCTGGGTCAGATTTCCTTGTCTGTGAAATAGATGATACGATCTCTAAATTGTCATACTTCCATGTCCCAGTATTAAGTGAAATCAGCAGCCTATATAGTACCTGGTAGTCCAGATAACCAGTAAAAGTATATTTTTAGACAAACACTGTTTTTTATACTTGCCTTCAATGTTTACATTAGCTCTGACTGAAAGGAAGGAACAGAAAGAAAGGCTATAACCCTTTCTAATATTAAGGTGGTAAAGTCCAGATCACTGTTTTTGGTTTAGTAAATCATTTAACAACTACAACAGTTGATAAATTACTGATTTTCTTTTTTTTTTAATTTATTTATTTGAAAGAATTACAAAGAGAGAGGGAGAGACAAAGGGAAAGAGAGAGAGAGAAGAGAGAGAGAGAATTTTCCATCTGCTGGGTTACTTGCCAAATGGCCACAATGGCCAGGGCTAGGCCACTGCAAATCCAGGAGCCAGGAGCTTCATCCAGGTCTCCTTCATTTGTGCATGTGTATAAGCTCTTGGGCCACCTTCTGCTGCTTTCTCAAGTGCATTATCAGGCAACTAGATCAAAAATGGAGCAGCTGGAACTTAAACCACTGTCCATGTAGGATGCTGACACTGCAGATAGCAGCTTAACCCTTGCCAGCCCATACATTTACTAATTTTCTAAATAGATGTTCCATCAATTGATGAGATGGGGGGTTCTAAAAAATTTCCACCTGTGATTTTTTTTTATTTCTCTATTTCTCTCTTAATTCTGTCAAAATTTTGTTTGATGTAGTGTCAACTCTGTTATAAATGTTTTCACACTTGCCATTATTATGTCTTTCTGATCCTTTTATTATTTAAAAAAAATCCTTTTTATCTGGATGTTAATTTTTATCCCTGGTAATACTGTTTGTTTTGAAATCACTTTACCTGATATTAACCAAGAGTCTCTCCAGTCTTCCTAGGCTTAAAGTTTGCACGGTATAACTTTCAACCTATGTCTTGATATTTAAAGTGAATGTTTTATAGTTGGGTCTTTTTCAATTAATCATCCTAAAAAACCCTGCCTTTTAATTAGAATTATTTATCCATTTCCATTTAATATAATTATTAATATGATTAGATGTGTGGCTGCCATTTTATGATTTTATTTTCTTGGATTTCCCTTTTGTTATTGTCACTCAGTGTTTTCTGTTGGCAGTGAATAATTTTGAGAATTCTATTTTAATCTGTCAGAATTTTTCTGTACTTACTATTTTAAGATTATGTCAGAGGTCAGCAAAGTTTTTCTATCAATTGTCATAATCTAAATAATTTATATCAAATTATTAATATAAGTGTAAGAAACTTGAAACCATATGATTTCATTTACCAACACTATTACTTACATTATAACAATTTTATGTGTTACATCTATATATGTGGGTACCTCACAACTCCATGGAATTGAAAAATAAGTTTATTTGGGGGCAAAAATATTTTGAAATCCTATCATAGTTGTTTCATAATATGCATTTTTCATGATTTTTCATAGATACAACTCTAAGACCATGTTATTCCTTTCCTTTCTCCATCCCTTCCCCTCCTTGCACCCTCCTTCTTCATTCCTTGTTTTCTTCTTTCCTTTCTGCCTTTCTCTCTCTCTCTCTCTCTTTCTTTGTGTGTGTGTGTGTGTGTGTGTGTGTCTCCTCCTTTTTTAGTTTTTGAGATAACATTTTTAATTAACATTACAGTGAAGGCTTAATGTTCCACTAAATAAAGAGTTCAACAAGTAAAAAGACACTAGTTCAGCAGAAATGTAGTTAAGGGCTATAATTAATAATCAAAGGAGTTTGCAAAAAACACACAAAAAAAACTAATAGCCTTTATATACACAAACAAATGCCTGAAAAAGAACTTGTAATATCAGTACCATTCACAATAGCTACAAAAATCTATAAATACCTGGGGATAAATTTAATCAACAATGTGAAAAATCTGTACAATGAAAATTATGAAACATTAAAGAAAGAAATAGAAGACACCAAAAATGGAAAAATCTTCCATGTTTCTGGATTCAAAGAATTAATATCATCAAAAATGTCATTACTACCCAAAATAATATATAGAGATTCATTGTGATCCCAATCAAAATACCAACATAATTCTTCTCAGATATAAAAAAGATGTTAAAATTCATATGGAAACATAAGAGACCACAAATAGCTAGAGCAGTCTTAAACAACAAAAACAAAGCCTGAAGCATCATAATACCATATTTCAAGACATACTATAGGACCGTTATAATGAAAACAGCTTGATTCTGGCACAAAAATAGACATGTTGACCAATGGAACAGAATAGAAACCAGAAATCAATCCACACATCTACAACCAACTAATCTTTGATAAACAACCTAAAATCAATCCCTGAAGAAAGGACAGTCTCTTCAAAAATGGTGTTGGGAAAATCAGATCTATGTACACAAAAATGTGAAACAAGACCCCTACATACACCTTATAAAAAATAACTCATAATAGATCAAGGATCTAAATCTACAACTTGATACCATCAAATTACTAGAGGAAAACATCAGGGAAACTCTGCAAGAGTTTAGGTAGACTTCTTGGAAAAGATCCCAGAAGCACAGGCAATCAAAGCAAAAATAGACAATTGGATTATATCAAGCTAAGAAGCTTCTTCACTGCAAAGGGGACATTCAACAAAGTGAAGAGGCAACCAACAAATTGGGAGAAAATATAAACTATGCAACTGATAAAGGATTAATATTCAGAATCTATAAAGAGTAAAGAAGCAAAATAGCAACAAACAATCCAGTTAAGAAATGGGCAGGTAGCTGGTGCTGTGGTATAGTAGGTTAAGCCTCTGCCTGTAGTGCCTCCGTCCTATATGGGCACCAGTTCATGTCCTACCTGCTCTTCTTCCAATCCAGCTATATGCCTGGGAGAGCAGTGGAAGATGGCCCAAGTGCTTGGACACCTGCACCCATGTGGGAGACCCAGAAGAAGCCTATCCTGGCTTTGTATAGGCTCAGCTCCAGTAATTGTGACCATTGGAGTGTGAACCAATGATTGGAAGACCTCTCTCTCCCTCTTTGTCTCTCTCTCTCTATCCCTGTGTGTGTGTGTGTGTGTGTCCCTCTTTCTGTTTGTAACTATGCTTCTCAAATACGTAAACAAATCTTAAACAAAAAAACAAAATGGCCAGAAGACATGAACATGCACTTTTCAAAGAATGAAATACAAGTGGCCAACAGACACAGGATAAAATGCTAAGAATCACTAGACATCAGGGAAATTCAAATTAAAACCACACTGAGGTCTCACCTCACCCCAGTCAAAATGACTATCATCAGAAAATCAAAAACAGTAAATGCTGGCAAGGATGTAGAGGAAAAGGTACACTGCTGATAGGAATGTGAACTAGTACAACCGTTATGGAAGACAGTATGGAGATTCCTCAGAATCTCAAAATAGATTTACCATTAAACCCAGCCATCCCACTCCTGGGAATTTACCCAAATGACATGTAATCAGCATAAGAAACCCCATGTTTATTGCAGCCAAATTCACAGTAGCTAAGATATGGAATCAACCCAGATGTCCATTAACTGATGACTGGATAAAGAAAATGAGGCATGGTATATATACAGTATGGAATACTACTCAGCTGCCAAAAAAAGAACACAGTTCTGTCTTTTGCAACAAAATGAATGAAACTAGAAATCATTAAATGTAGTGAAATAAGACAGTTCCCAAAAGACAACTATCATGTTTTCTCTGATATGTGATAGTTAATGTAGAATATAAAAATGTTTAGAAGGGTCCAGTGCTGTGGCATAGCTGGGAAAGGCACTGCCTGTGTTTCCAGCATCCCATATGGGCACTAGTTTGAGTCCCAGCTTCTCTTCTGATCCAGCTCTCTGTATGGCCTGGGAAAGCAGTGGAAGATAGCACAAGTTCTTGAGCCCTGCACCCATGTGGGAGACCTGGAAGAAGCTCCTGGCTCCTGGCTTCAGATAGGCTCAGCTCTCTCTCTCTCTCTCTCTCTCTCTCTCTCTGTGTGTGTGTGTGTGTGTGTGTGTCTCCCTCTTTATGTCTGTAACTATGCCCCTCTGTAACTCTGCCTTTCAAATAAAAAAAAAAATCTTGAAAAAATGTTTAGGAATGAAATAGACATCTTATAATTTAATTGTTGTTTTTAGCCCTTGTTTATACTCCTTGGAACTGTGATCTTTCTACTTTTTACTTGTTACATATTATGATTAATGGTGCATTAAGCCTATGATTGTAGAATCAGTTGAAATTATGTATTTACAAAAGTTTTTAAAAAAGGAAGGAATAAAGGGGTTTAAGAGAGGAAAGAAGAGGGGTCGTGGAAAGAAGGTTATTTAAGAATAGTGCTTATGAGATACATGAAATCTGTTCTCTTTATATCAATTAAAAATAAGAAAAAGAAAAGATGACTATATCATCCATATATAATAAATTTTAGAATAATCACAGATGATTAAAACTATAGCAGTATAACATTCTTAACCATTGGTTTGACAAAGATATAAAGCAAAGTTTGACAAAACTACATTTGCAGCAATACTGATAGGTGAAATATTTTTTGCACCAAACTTCTCTCTCTCTCTCTCTTTTTTTTTTTTTTTTTTTTTTGACAGGCAGAGTTAGTGAGAGAGAGAGACAGAGAGAAGAGAGAAAGGTCTTCCTTTTTCCATTGGTTCACCCCCTAAATGGCCGCTATGGCCGGCGTGCTGCACCAATCCAAAGCCAGGAGCCAGGTGCTTCCTCCTGGTCTCCCATGTGGGTGCAGGGCCCAAGCACCTGGGCCATCTTCCACTGCCTTCCCGGGCCACAGCAGAGAACTGGACTGGAAGAGGAGCAACCGGGACAGAATCCAGCGTCCCGACCGGGACTAGAACCCAGGGTGCCGGCACCGCAGGCGGAGGATTAGCTTAGTGAGCCGCGGCGCTGGCAACCAAACTTCTCTCTTAATTCCATTTTCTGTGAACTTTTTGAAGATACCCTCATGCATTATAAACCCCATATCACAAAGTTTTAATATTTGCTTTAACATAAATAAAATGTTATTTGCTTTAATATAAATGAAATGGGTACCTTGAAGTATTTTGGGGGAAAATTTTTTTTTTCATTTACTCAGCTATTTACCATTCCTGTTGTTCTCACTCTTGGTTGAAGATTCACATTTGCTGATGAGAATGAAAAATTGTGCAATCACTGCGGAAAATAATTGGTGGTTCCTCAAGAAGTTAAAATAAAATTGTCATATGATCCATGACTGCCACTTCTAAATACATACTCAATTAAAAACAGCATCAGATACTTGTACAGTCATGTTCAGAGCAGCATTATTCACAATAGGCAAAGGGTGGAAGCAAGACAAGTATACATTAACAGATGAATAGATAACAGTATGTGGTACAGGTAGGGCATCTATCATCCAAAACACTTGGGAGCAGAAGTGTTTAGGGTTTCATGCTTTTTAATATTTTGAAATATTTGCACATATATGAGGAGATATCTTGAGAATGAGACCCAAATTTAAACACAAAATTCATTTATGTTTTGTTTATATCTTATACACATAACCTGAAGATAATTTTATACAATATTTTTAGTGTGTCTGCATTTTGGCGGTGACCTGTCACATGAAGTCAAGTGTGGAATCTTCCATTTATGGTGTCATGTCGTACACGTGATTTTGGCTTTTGGAGCATTTTGAATTTCAGAGTTTCAGGTTAAAAGAGCTCTACCTGTATAGCAATTGGGTATTATTTAGCCTTTAGAAGGAGGGAAGTTTTAACATAATGCTGTGACACAAGTGAATCTGGAAGTAGGTCTTGCCTCAGTAAAATAAGCCAGACACAGAAGGGCAGATGTTTTAGCCTAGTTATATGAAATGTGTAGAAATCAAATTCGTTGAGACAGAAGAATGAATGGTTAACAGAGAATAAGCATACAGAGGTAATGGACGATTAGTGTTTAACGGGTATAGTGGTTCAGTGGGAAAGATGAAAGATTTATGGAGATGGACGGTAAGGATGGTTGCACAACATGATTGCACCAAATGCCACAGAACCACCAATAAGGAAAAAAAGAATAAAAGTAGACATAGAAAAGTTAAGTAGAATAATCTGTAAGGAAAGCTAAGGTAAGAAAACTGAAATATTTTCAAACACCTCTTTTTCTACAACTTTTGCCTTTATTTATTCAGGGTTTGCAAGGACCCCCTGGAAATACAGGAGATAAAGGAGTTGCAGGAGAACCAGTAAGTTTACCTTTATGCTTTTCAGATTCTGTTTTTCTCATAATGTACACTTATCTTTGTACTATTTTTAAGCCTAGTTATGCTATGACTGATGTTTTAAGAACAGTGGTTATCATAGGCACTGTAGATAATTTGTATAAAATGAATATTTTGCTATAATGAAGTTTTTAGTGCTTTTCTGATTTCACATAATCAAATTAGGTGCTGCTTTTCTGGAAAATGAACATATTCCTATTTTCAGCAAAGAAAACTCTATTTTACTGACTCTCAGAAATTCCTTTTCTGAAGCTGGATACTTTCTCTCTCTCTCTCTCTCTCTCACACACACACACACACACACACACATCTCTATAATAAAAGACCAACTCTATAATAAAAGACTTTACAGACTGTACATGTGATAGGCCCAAAGCATGCAAGTATTACAGAGATGCTGTTACATCAACAACACAAAATGTTACATCACAATTTAATAAATATAATTCAGTTACAGAATTTTCATTAAAAACAGACTTCGAGAAGCAAAGACCTTATCACATCTACTTTCTTACAATTTATTCTTTATTGCCAGAGAAGTCATGTTTCTAGTTCGTATTGTCAGATGTAATACGTGGTAATGTGCTTCTCAGATTTGCAATATGATATAGTCTTTCAAACCATCAGGCTGATTTTATCATCCGTTGACAAAAAGTTTTACAGGTGGCCTTTGCATATTTCACTTAGATAGTACCAAATGGAAAGTACTCAACAGTCAATGAGCTATTCTTACCAAACTGATTAATTTCCTCCTTTATCTACTTAACCTAGGATAAATGCTTTCCAAATAATAAGATTTGACAATATGTATAATTATTCTAACTAAAGACCCTTAGATAATGGTGTTGCTTTCATCCAACTAAGTTTTTCACTCTTTTCTCCCTATTTTGTATAACTACCTGCCTTCACAATCTGACACTAATTTGATCTAAAATAGTACAATGTGGGGAGCAAACCGGACTAGACTGAGTTACTGGAATTAAGACTTATTCTATGCATCTGCTCTCCCACAATATGGCGCTGGGAGAGAAGTAAACAGCTTCTGCACAGCTGCCTCCAGTTCAACCAATAAACTGTAGGACTTGCTCCTGATTGGAGGAGAGCAGCGTACTCGGCGTGTGGGCAGCCGAGTTGGGATTGGCGGAGGAGGACTATAAAGGAGGAGAGAGACGGCATGCACCGGGAACATCTAAGGGGAACATCTAAGGGAACACCTGTGCAGCCCCCCGAGAAAGCCGGCCGGTGGAGTGCCGCTCCCCTGCGGAAGTGGGGAATGTGGCCAGGGGGAACTGCCCTTCCACGGAGGTGGAAGGGATAGTAGCCAACCCGGGAAGAACCAGCAGCAAACCCGGGGAGGGCCGAGCAGACGAAAGAACAGCGCAGGGTCCTGTGTCGTTCCTCCACGAAGAGGGGGAGCGACATAATGGTGCCGTGACTCGGATATGAAGCCTAAGCAGGGTTTGGTGTCGTTCCTCCACGAAGAGGGGGAGCGACAGTACAACTCCCCATAGTACTATTTACTTAACTAGCTATCTCTTCTTAAAAAGTCTGTAAATTCCTAAAGTCAGAGATTATTTATTTTTACTTTTGTAATCCCCTTTTATGGCATTATAGCTGCATATTAAATCCACTTGATGTGTGTGTGTGTTAAACTGAATTCATAAAAGGTCATGTACCCAAAGGCATAATTGTTCAGCTTGTATATAACATTACATGAAGTGAAAGGAGGTGAAAATTAATTGAGTTTTAGAAGACAAGTAAGGGTAAGTGTGTCAGTAGAATTATGGCAACAGCAGAGAGTATCTTAGGATTTACACAAGAAAAGATTTTAAAGACTTGTTACTGTAGCCTTAAATGACTAAATGGCTTAACAGCACCTAAAAATTGAAATGCAAGTCACTCAGGGGGTTCATAAATAGAATCTAAATCAAATTATAAAGGATACAGTGGACATGGTATGTGTTTGAGCTGCCTTGCCTAAACATGTGAAGGAAAAGAAGAAAATTGATCAAGTGAAAGGCACAAGATACATTAAAACATACAAGTGTTTATAATTTTAGAATATAAAAGGACTATAGCTTTTCTGTAGCCAAGATTGACAACTGGTTTGCTTATTATGGTACAAGCATTTGTAATGAATAGGTGAACATTGACTCATTCAATGGCAAATATTTATTAAGAATCTACACTTAGAGTCAGAGATTAGTGGAAGGGGTGATACTTAAACTCCTTGCCCAAATCAAGATGATACCTTCATAGTGTAGAGGCCAGGGACTCGTAGGGCAACTTATTCTTGGAAATCAGCACCATGATATCAGGCTACAGGATTGGCCCAACCATCCTCAACAACTGGCCTATTTAAGGGCAAAGTGCTACTAGATGGCAGAAGGAAGACCCTGGAGATGATTATCTGCACCTGGATGTAATGGATGACCATTTTCTCAACATCACTATGGTTCCCCTGAAAGTAGCTGGGCCAGAACTCTTTTTCTTTTTAAATATTTATTTTTATTTTATTTGAAAGGCAGAGTTATAGAGAGGCAGAGGCAGAGAGAGAGATCTTCCACCCACTGGTTGACTCCCCAGATGGCCACAATGGCCAGAACTGCACCAATCCAAAGCCAGGAGATTTTTCTGGGTCTCCCACATAGGTGCAGGGGCCCAAGGACTTGAGCCATCTTCCACTGCTTTCCCAGGCCATAGCAGATAGCTGGATCAGAAGTGGAGCAGCCAGGACTTGAATCAGAACCCATATAGGATACTGGCACTGGAGGAAGTGGCTTTTTCCACTACACCACAGCACCAGTCCCCATAACCCTATCTTTGACATATACATGGTAATGTCCAGGACAGAATAGTGAGTAAAGCCAATGGCTGTAACAGGAGTCACTTGATACACCTTTCATCTTGAGGCCATCAAGACAGGGGCTTTTATTAAGGACACTGGGGAGAATGGGATGAAGGTTGACCTTGCCATCAAACCAGTAACTAAGGTTGAACATTTGGCACCAGGAGCAAGTAGATATTACATTAGTTATGACAGTGGAACCTGTCTGTGGCCGTATCACCCTGAACATGAACATGCCTGATCTTGTCTGATCTCAGAGAAGCTAAGTAGGGTCAGGCCGTGGATGGGAGACAGTGGAACCTGGAAAGGCATATTGAATACTATGAAAATTTTGAAAAGAATTTTCTGCTGTTTCTATTTTTGAAGAGCAAAGGAAGTTCTTATGTTTTTTTCTATTCATATCATTTGTGATTATTAAGCATGTTACAAGACTGGAACTTAAAAATAGAAGCTTGGGTGGAATGTCATACCATATTCTTGCATCTGAAACATTTATTTTTCACCCTTCTCTTTATATTTTATTCACAAAAACTATAAAAACACTGTAGGAATCCCATGCATTCTAAAATAAAAATATAAGTTAATCAAGGTGTTTTCTGTCAAAGCAGATCATTCACTGATTCCTTCCCACCCTTGGTTTTCTTAATTTCACTACCATTTCTTTTCTTCCCCTCCACCCAACATTCTTAAGGGAATTTAAAAAAATACTGACATGTTAGCTCTGAGTAGAAAAGAGTAGTACCGCCTCTATTTGGAAATAATAATGGGTTGAATTCTGAATCTGCCCTTTTCTAGCTAATTCTCCTTAGCAAAGCACCTATCCTATTTTTGTGCTTCTGTTAACTTCTTGGCTTAGGAAAGGTTTTTGTATTTAATCAAATCAAACAACACAAGGCTTAGAGAAATGACACATATTCATATATTCTAATATATTTCTGAAACAATGATAGTGGATTACCATCTGTTTAGGAGCAAAATAATAACTTATTTCATGTGCAGGCTCTTGTGAGTATACTAAGTCTTAAAAATTACTCAGCAATATGTTTTAACATCAAATTGAAGCAGTTAATATCTTGATTTTGTGATTTTTACCATAATGATTGTACAAATGATTAACACTTGTCTGTAGGTGACAAACAATTTACTGTTCAGGAAGGAAAAAGAGATTTTGAAATCAGAGATGACCCCCTAAAATTTATACAAAAAAGTCCCCCAGAAGTGCTATCGGGGGTGCCGCATATGCTACCGGAATTTGGGGTGTCATGATTTCACCATATGCTTACTAATAAATCCCCGACATTAATAAGCCCAAGAGGGTTCTTGCCTAATATTTAGAGAAGAATTCTAAATACCAGCACCAATAAATGAGGCAGCATGGTACATTTTAGGCTTTTATTTAGTGTGAAAGGTGCGTAGGAAAGTAAGGGCTTTAGTTCAGTTTAAGGAGAGGGGAAAATCTGGAAACTAGGGTAGCATCCATACCAAGCAGAGAGCAGACCAAAAGCCATGTGCAGCAAGTGCCTTGAGCTGCTATCCACCACTTATCACCAGCAGCAAAACAGAGGCAGAGAGCCTTTTGAAATGTTCCTTGCCTTTTTATTTATTTTCCACAAGGGAGTGGCTTGTGGGCAGGTGGGCGCTCAGGTATGGTCAGGTAGAGTCTGATGTCACATGGAGGCATGGTGAGGGTATCGAGGTTACACAGGATCGTGGTGAAGGCGTGGTCTTCCAGCTCACAAACCTAATCAATTTTAACCTGTATGCCTGCCTACTTCAATTTAACTTGTCTATTTCAGAAACAACATAAAAAGTAAATACATGCAGTACATGCTGTTACTCTAGAACTGTGACCAGAGTGGATAGAGAATCCAGAACAGGGCTTTTTGTCTCCTATTTTACCTTCAGTTGCATAGTTTTCTTAGCTTGCTCCCTATCACTTATTTTTTTCTTAACATTACTGAGTCCTAGATCAATTTCCATCTGATTGTTTTTGGGGATAGTGGCCATTCTCTGGGGCACAGGTACAGAAGATTCCATCCTAGGAAGCTTTCTTGACTCTTCAATCTGATTCTCTTTTTCCATCTTGGCATAATAACTGTGTCTTTTAAAAAAAAAA